AGGGCAGCCAGAGAGAAGGGTGGGGTTACCCACAAAGGGAAGCCCATGAGACTAACAGGAGATCTCTCTGCGGAAACCCTACAAACCAGAAGAGGGTGGGGGCCAATATTCAACATAGTATTGGAAGTTCTGCCCAGGGCAATCAGGCAAGATAAAGAAATAAAGGGCATTCAAATAGGAAAAGAGAAAGTCAAATTGTTTCTGTTTGCAGATGACATGATTGTATATTTAGAAAACCTTATAGTCTCAGCCCAAAATCTCCTTAAGCTGATAAGCAACTTCAGCAAAATCTCAGGATACAAAATCAATGTGCAAAAATCACGAGCATTCCTATACACCAATAATAGATAAACAGAGAGTCAAATCATGAGTAAACTACCATTCGCAATTGCTACAAAGAGAATAAAATACCTAGGAATACAACTTACAAGGGATGTGAAGGACCTCTTCAAGGAGAACTACAAACCACTGCTCAAGGAAATAAGAGAGGACACAAACAAGTGGAAAAACATTCCATACTCATGGATAGGAAGAATGAATATCGTGAAAATGGTCATACTGCCCAAAGTAATTTATAGATTCAATGCTATCCCCATCAAGCTACCATTGACTTTCTTCACAGAATTAGAAAAAACTACTTTAAATTTCATATGGAACCAACAAAGAGCCTGTATAGCCAAGGAAATCCTAAGGATAAAGAACAAAGCTGGCGGCATCATGCTACCTGACGTCAAACTATACTAAAAGGCTACAGTAAACAAAACAGCATGATACTGGTTCCAAAATAGATATATAGACCAATGGAACAGAAGAGAGGCCTCAGAAATAATGCCACACATCTACAACCATCTGATTTTCGACAAACCTGACAAAAACAAGCAATGGGGAAAGGATTCCCTATTTAATAAATGGTGTTGGGAAAACTGGCTAGCCATATTCAGAAAACTGAAGCTGGACCCCTTCCTTACACCTTCTACAAAAATTAACTCAAGGTGGATTAAAGATTTAAATGTAATACCTTAAACCATAAAAACCCTAGAGGAAAACCTAGGCAATGCCATTCAGGACATAGGCATGGGCAAAGACTTCATGACTAAAACACCAAAAGCTATGGCAACAAAAGCCAAAATTGACAAATTGGATCTAATTAAACTAAAGAGCTTCTGCAGAGCAAAAGAAACTATCATCAGAGTGAACAGGCAATGTACAGAATAGGAGAAAATTTTTGCAATCTACCCATCTGACAAAGGGCTAATATCCAAAATCTACAAAGAACTTAAACAAATTTACAAGAAAAAAAAACCCATCGAAAAGTGAGTGAAGGATATGAACAGACACTTCTCAAAAGAAGACGTTTATGCAACCAACAAAGATGAAAAAAGTGCATCATCACTGGTTGTTAGAGAAATGCAAATCAAAACCACAATGAGATACCATCTCATGCCAGATAGAATGGCAATCATTAAAAAGTCAGGAAACAACAGATGCTGGAGAGGATGTGGAGAAACAGGAATGCTTTTACACTGCTGGTGGGAGTGTAAATTAGTTGAACCATTGTGGAAGACAGTGTGGTGATTCCTCAAGGATCTAGAACCAGAAATACCATTTGACTCAGCAATCTCATTACTGGGTATATACCCAAAGGATTGTAAATCATTCTACTATAGTGACACATGCACACGTATGTTTATTGCAGCACTATTCACAATAGCAAAGATTTGGAACCAACCCAAATGCCCATCAATGATAGACTGGATAAAGAAAATGTGGCACATATACACCATGGAATACTATGCAGCCATAAAAAAGGATGAGTTTATGTCCTTTGCAGGGACATGGATGAAGCTGGAAACCATCATTCTCAGCAAACTGACTCAGGTACAGAAAACCAAACACTGCATGTTCTCACTCATAAGTGGGAGTTGAACAATGAGAACACATAGACACAGGGAGGGGAACATCACATACCAGGGCCTGTTGGGGAATGGGGGGCTTGGGCAGGGATAGCATTAGGAGAAATACCTAATGTAGATGGTGGTTTGATGGGTACAGCAAACCACCATGGCATGTGTATACGTACTTAACAAACCACGTTTTGCACATGTATCCCAGAACTTTATATATATAAATATTATACATATAATATTATTATATATATAGTATATTTATTATATATAATCACTCAATGCCACTAATCATCATACAAATGCAAATTAAAACCACAATGAGATATCATCCTACACAAGTCCAAATGTTTATTATTGAAAAGTCACAAAATATCAGATGTTGGTATTGATGTGGAGAAAAGGCAACCTTCATTTGCTGTCAGTGAGAATGTAAATTAGTACAACCTCTTTGGAAAATAGTATGGAGATATCTCAAAGAAATAAAAATAAAGCTATTATTTGACCCAGCAATCCCACTACTGGGGATTTACCCATGGGAAAAAATTATTACATAAAAACATCAGCATCTTTATGTTTCTTGCAGCACTATTCACAGCAGCAAAGTTATGGAATCAACCTTAGCAGACGGTTGGAAAAAGACAATGCGGTATATATACACCATGGGATACTATGCAGCTATGAAAAGAATGAAATAATGTCTTTTGCAGCAACATAAATGGAGCTGAAGTCCATTATCATAAGTGAAATAATTCAGAATCAGAAAATAAAATATTGCATGTTTTCACTTACAAGTGGGAGCTGAACAATGGGTACTCATGGACATAAAGATGGAAGTAATAGACACTGGGGACTCCAAAAGGGGGGTTGGTAGGGGATTAAATATTACCTACTGGTGGAACAGAACAGATAACTTAGATATAAAAGTCACACCTCTACAGCCATCTTATCTTTGACAAAGTTGGAAAAAAAAGCAATGGAGAAAGTCTCTCTATTCAGTAAATGGTGCTGGGATATTTGGCTAGCTGTATGCAAAAGAATGAAACTGAACCCCTATCTATTCCATGTACAAAAATTAACTCAAGATGGATCAAAGATTCAATGTAAGAACTGAAACTATAAAAATCCTAGAAGAAAACTTAGGAAACAGCATTCTGGATATCAGCCTTGGCAGATAATTTATGACTAAGTCCTCACAAGCAATTGCAACAAAACCAAAAATTGACAAATGTGAACCAAATAGATGAAAGAGTTTCTACGTAGCAAAAGAGATATCAAGGGAGTAAACAGACAACCTATAGAATGAAAAAAAATATTCACAAACTATGCATCTGACAAAGCTCTAATATCCAGAATTTATAAGGAACTTAGACAATTCAGTAAGCAAAAAATAACCCCATTAAAAAGTGCACAAAATACATGAATATATACTTCTGAAAAGAAGACTTACGAGTGGCTAAGAAACATTAAAATGTCCTTCACATCAGTAATGTCAGAAAAGAGCAAATCAAAACCACAATGAGATACCGTAATAATAGTCAGAATGGCTATTATTAAAAAGTCAAATAACAACAGAGGCTGGCAAGCCTGTGGAGAATAGGGAACACTCATACACTGTTTGTAGGAATGTAAATTAGTTTAACCACCATGGAAAACAGTTTGGAGATGTCTCACAGAATTTAAAAACAGAACCACCATTTGACTCAGCAATCTCATTATTGGGTATATACCCAAAGGAAAATAAATCTTTCTATCAAAAAGATTCGTGCACTTGTATGTTCATTACAGCACCATTCACAATAGCAAATAAATGGAATCAACTTTGATGCCCATCAGTGATGGACTGCATAAAGAAAATGTGGTACATATATACAACGGCATACTATGAAACCATAAAAAATAAAATAATGTCCTTTGCAGCAACATGGATAGAGATGGAGGCCATTATCCTAAGTGAATTAATGCATGAACAGAATACCAAATACTGCATGTTCTCACTTATAAGTGGGAGCTAAACATTGGGTACATGTGGACATAAAGATGGGAAAAATAGGCACTGGGGACTACTAGAGGGGAGAAGAAGGGAGGGGACAAGGGTTGAAAAAGTACTTGTTGGGTACTATACTGACTACCTGGGTAATGGGATCATTCGAACCCCAAACTTCAGCATCACACAATATAATCATGTAACAAATCTGTACATGGACTCCATGAATCTAAAGTAAAAGTTGTAATTATTTAAAAATTACCTATTGTGTATAATGTTCACTATTTGGGTGATGGGTACACTGGAAGCCCAAACCTCATCATTATGCAATATATCCATGTAACAAACTTGAACTTATACCCCTCGAATCTAAAATTTTTTTAAAAGAGAAAAATAATAAAAAGCAGCATAATCATGGTTTCATATATTATTTTGCCCTTAAGGGGGGGAAATTCTGTGATTTGCCACAAAATGGATGAATCTCTAGGACATTATGCTAAGTAACATAAACCAGGCACAGAAAGACAAATGCTGCATGATTTCACTCATGTGAAATTTAATAAAGTTGAACTCATAGAAGTAGACAGTAGAATGATGGTTACTAGAAGCTGGAGGGTAGGAGGGAGTGAATGGGGAATTGTTGATGAAAGGATGCAAAATGTTTAAGATCTGTACACCAGGGTGCTTATAGTCAACAATATTGTATTGCATATTTTGAAATAATTAAATCGACAAATTTCAAATATCTTACCATAAAAATGATAGGTAAGTGTGGTGACAAATACGTAAATTAGCTCGATTTAAGTGTTCTGCATTTTTTGCATATGTCAAAGCATCACATTGTACCTTATAAATTGTATATATTTATGATTTGTATTAGTTTAGAAGTATTAATTTAGAAAAGAATTTAAACTTAAGGGTACAAAGAAGAAAAGAGGAAATGAAAGTAGAAAATGACACCTTAATATTAAAAATGGACTGAGATTCCTAACCATTAAGATGTTTGTTTATTGGCAACAAAACCAAACTCCTGATCTTACCTTTATCTGCAGCATTTGGTGATGGTCACTTGTTTTGTTTTCCACTTGGTTTCTGCTTGATTTCTTCACCTCCTATAGCACTCTGTTTCTTTCTATGTCTAGTCTCAATCTCAGCACTGGCAGTGTTGGAAGTATTGAGAGCATTATCAATGTCAGAAGTGCTGGGAGCATTTTCAGAGATGAAAGTGTTGGGAGCACTGTGAGAAATAGAAGAGCCTGGAGTACTGTCAATACTTGATGGTTTGGGAGTACTATCAGATGATCTGTGATTTCTGTCAGAGGTGGCAGTCTTGGGAGTATGATTAGTGCTAGAAGGGTTCAGAATGCCATCAGAGGTAGCAGGGCTCAGAGTAGTGTCTGAGATGGAAATGCTAGGGACATGGTCAATGGAAGAATTTCTGGGAGTTTTGTCAGCAATGTTAGTGCTTGGAGGGCTGTGAACAGTGTAAGTACTGGGAGTACTGTCAGTGTAAACATTTACATTGCTCACAGTGTAGGTACCTGGAGTATTGTCCACAGTGTAAGCGTTCAAAGTATTGTTCACAGTGTAGGTGCTCAAAGTATTGTCAACAGTGTAGGTGCTTGGAGCATAGTTAACAGTGCTTGGAGTACCAGAAATATTGAAAAAATCATTAGTTTTGTTCGCAAGCAAAGAAGTGTTGTTAGCCACATAGCTATTCTTTTGTCCACCAACTTGTCTAGTTTTTTTCTTCATATGTTCTCCCATTTTAGCAGCTCTTTCACTGAGTTGGTTATAATTTGCTATTCCATGGGAATAGGTTTCTAAAAGAGACAATGGAATACTGTTTAATAATTATAATAATTACATATCTCAAAGCTTTTGTTTTTAGAGACAGGGTCTCACTCTGTCATCCAGGCTGGAGTGCAGTGACTCAGTCATAGCTAACTGTAATCTTGAACTCCTGGGTTCACGGGATCCTCCTGCCCTGACTTCCCAAAATGCTGGGATTACAGGCACGAGCCACAATGCCTGGCAAGGTCTTTCTTTTTCTTTTTTCTTTTTCAAATCTAGTCAACAAAAGAACATTGATAAGCCATGCTTCGCTTTAAAAAATTTTTACTTTGCTTTAATACAGGCATTAGGGGTGTGTGTGTGTGTGTGTATGCATGCGCACATTTATAATGTATTGATAGGTACAGATAGAGAAACATGAGTAAATACAGTGTTTTCCTAGGTAGTAACTTTACTTCCAAGTTTTACGTTCTTAAATCTAAATTTGAGCTTCTAGTGTATTTTGTATTTTTAGTATATGGCATTAACAATCAAAACATTTTTAATAATTGTTCAATCTGATATTATAGATCCAGTAAGTAAAAATAAATACTACAAATTACATACTACGTCAAAGTACAGCAAACACTTAAGGAAAATTTGAATTTATAGAACATTTGCCCAAGATGTAAACTTTAGACAAAATGCTTACGCACGAGCGTTTTGCCTAGGGATTGTCATCAATCCTAATATAAATGCATTAAATGCAATCATTTATGGAAGTGTTACTATCTTCCTCTTTTCATTTTAATAATTATCCAAGGTTGCTGATTTTAACAAACTCAAAATATTTCCTGTTTAAGAAAATTATATACTACCATGATGTTCTTGGTATATACACGTTGCTGGTAGTGGCGAGAGTGGTGGCGGTGGTGGTGGCGGCCACAGCTGCTATGGCACAGACTCTTGGATGTAGGTGGTGGAAATTCCTCTTGAGCTAAGGGATACATAAGCTGAGGGGCTTGTGGATATAAAGGAGAGGATGGTGTTATAAAGTGTGTTACTTGTATAGGTGCAGGCATGGATGTGTGATAGTTGTCTGAGAACAATGATAATTTTGCGAATCCCATTTTCTTCTACTACCTAAGATGGAAGAAAGAATAATATAAAAATATTAGAATCCATAAAAATCAGCATTTTGCTCTATTAAACTTTGTATTTATATTATATGCTTTTAATTTAGAAACAAAAAACAATTTTCAAGTGAAACTATAATGTCAAGCAGGAGGCAAGGTAATTCTTCTTTTTCCCCAAATGTATTGCTTTTAAAGAGGTTATATTTTTAAATTTAAATTTTATTTTATTCTATTTTATTTTATTTTATTTTTTTTGAGACGGAGTCTCGCTGTGTCGCCCTGGCTGGGGTGTAGTGGCGAGATCTCGGTTCACTGCAAGCTCCGCCTCCCGGGTTCACGCCATTCTCCTGCCTCAGCCTCCCGAGTAGCTGGGGCTACAGAAAAGAGGTTATTTTTTGACAATAGATAATATATTGACATGGTTCAAAACCATAAATTATAAAGAAGCGTATGATTAAAAGTTTCCCAGCAGGGTGCCATGGCTCAAGCCTGTAATCCTAGCATTTTGGGAGGCCGAGGTGGGCGGATCACCTGAGGTAAGGAGTTTGAGACCAACCTGGCCAACACGGTGAAACCCCCTCTCTACTAAAAAAACAAAACAAAACAAAACAATAATTAGCCGGGCGTGGTGGCGGACGCCATGGCGGGCGCCTGTAATCCCAGCTACTCGGGAGGCTGAGGCAGGAGAATCGCTTGAACCCGAGAGGTGGAGTTTGCAGTGAGCCGAGATCATGCCACTACATTCCAGCCTGGGCGACAGAACGAGACTCAGTCTAAAAAAAAAAAAAACTGTGAAGAGTGTGGTGGGGAGAAGGCCTGGGCCATACATCTGTTCCTGCCCCCTCTCCCACCCTTACCCAACAAGCCTCAGCCCAGTTCAGCTTTCCTGAACCCAGGATGCATAGTCTTAGGGGAAATACCCCCATATTCTCTCATACTTTCCTGTACAATTTCCTCACAGGGTTGAACAGCCCACATGAGACAGGCTATTAGAGGCAGGGCAGCCCAGGGTAGCCCAGGGTGAATGGCCTAGCTTCCCCTCCTGGCTCTGGGGTGGCCGGCTGTGTGACCTTAGACAAGGTATTGAACTCTGTTCTGTAAAATCAGGGCTGTTTAGTAACATGTCCTCCCTCTCGGTGGCCATCAGGGCCACATGAGTTAATACTTGGGGGGACGCAGCGTGGCGTCTGGTGCTGGGGAAGCACTCATACCTCTTGGCCATCGTGGTTATTCCAAAGAGAATCTCCAGGGATGCCAGCTCTTGTCCCTCTTGCTGCACGCTCCT